TTCCCTCGTTCCCCGTAAATGGGGGAAACCTCCAAAAAAATTACAAATTTAAAAATCGCTAATTTTCGAAATTTTTGAAATTTTTTTTACTTAAAACTATCATAACATTTTCAAAAATGAACATATCAATGTAATTTTTGTTTTATAGATGCTTGATGTCTTTACCTATCATTTGGTATATTTTTTTTGTAAATTTGACCTTTTATCTGCCCATAGGGGAGGATTTAAGATGATAACTTTATCACAAAAAATTTATTTTTTCAACTTAAATTTTGAAAATGTTCCGGAAAGTCTGACACTTTTATATATATCTTAAATTAAAGCATATGTAATATGCTTTATCATGAAAAAAAAAAATTTCGGACTTTATTTTATCTTCATGGTGAAAATGGCTACCGAATGCTATTTTTGTGTGAAAATTTTCGAATTTGTATTTTCCATTTTTAACTTTATTATGCTATAACTTTTTGAAAAATGTATGGATCATTACAATTTTTTTATGGAAAATAGTGTTTATATACATCTTTCATTCGACATACTGTTTTTTTAAATCGGACCATTTCCCTTAATACAGGGGGGATTTTAACATAAAAATGCATATAGAAAGTAGAACTTTTTCAACTTAACTTTTGAAAGTGTTCCGGAAGGTCTGACAATTTTATATATATCTTAAATTAAAGCTAATGTAATATACTATAATATAGTATATTACATATACTATATTATACTATATTTTTTAAAATTAAACACTATCTAAAGTTTTGCATCGAAGCGTTTTTTTTTTATAGTGATTTTAATCACTGTCAGATATCATTATACTTGATCCAACTATGCCACGTCACCACTGTGCCGCGACCCCCTGTGCTGGTTTTTTAAATACTGATCTTGATGACATTTTAATAAAATATAAAAGAGGTAATAAGTGTTCTTTTGGTGGACTTTTCAATGAAAAACCTGAGTACAATAAGGATTTGAAAGAGAAAATTCATGCATGTGAAGACATTTTAGAACATCTACTAACATTAATTTATATCAAGTTAAAGCTTATGATGTTAACTACAATATTAAAAAACCCAGCACAGGGGGGTCGCGGCACAGTGGTGACGTGGCATTGTTGCGTCAAGTATAATGATATCTGACAGTGATTAAAATCACTATCATAAAAAACGCTTCGATGCAAATCTTTAGATAGTGTTTAACTTTAAAAAATAGGTGTATTATTCCAAAAGCTACATGATCTGTTAGTTCCTTACTAATATCCTGATTAAGATAAAGTATGTCAAACGAATAAAGGGTTTATTAAAAAATATTATTTCTCATAAAAAAATTATGTTGATCCATACTTTTTTCAAATAGTTATAGCATAATAAAGTTAAAAATGTAAAATACATAATCGAAAATTTTCACACAAAAATAGCATTCGTTAGCCATTTTCACCGTGAAGATAATATAAATTCCGAAATTTTTATTTTCCATAATAAAGTACATTGCATTAGCTTTAATGTAATATATATATATAAGTGTCAGACTTTCCGGAACATTTTCAAAATTGAAAAAGTAAATTTTTTGTAAAAAAGTTGTCATTTTGAATCTCTCCCTGTAGGCAGATAAAAAGTCAGATTTATAAAAAAAAATATAATAAATGATAGGTAAAAACATCATGCATCTATAAAAAAAAGATTTATATTGATTTGGTTATTTTTGAAAAAGTTACGGCAGTTTTTAGTAAAAAAAATAGAAAAAATTTCGAAAATTAACCATTTTTAAATTTGTATTTTTTTCGGAGGTTTCCCCCATTTACGGGGAACGAGGGAATTTTTTTCAACTTTTGAGGGTAATGTCTTCGACTAGATACGATTTGTGATCTTTTGACGTATCATTGAAAGAAATCGGTCCGGTGAGAGCTGAGAAAAAGTGGTAACAGACACAAAAAAAAAACACATCTTAGTAAAACCAATACCTTCTCAGCTTCGCATCGAAGCTAAAACTCCAAACACAATTGTGTTTGGTGCAACAATCCGTGGGCACACAAAATATCTGGTTTTTGATATACTTAGATATTGTATACTATATCATTAACTATAATTTTCGTGGGGTTTACTGCAACGTGACGAGTGCAAGCACAGTACAATGAATTCTCGTCACACATTTTCGGCGGCGACCTGCTCGTGTCGACAGTTTTCATTTATAGTCTACGTGTCTATTAAATATTAATAGGCAATAGCTCTAATAAAATTCCACCAAATTCTACCAACGCAATAGCGTCTAGATAAATTTATCAGATTATTCGATTGATATAACACCTACACTATCATATTTTTTTTACCATTTCGATTTTCGACATTAAAGCGATCACACTCAAATGTTTTTATATCGTTCTTATCTACCGTATGGGTAGTATTTTTATTCATTATTAAATTTTTAAGCTTAAATTATGAATAATAATCAAGAAATATTTTAATTAAGCTGAAAGAAGTTTCTCAACATTGAAGAAAATTAAACCGTGCTTAAAAAGTATCATGTATAAAAAAAAACTCAACGCTTTGACCATATTTAGTATTGAAAGTTGTATAATCAACGAAGATTAATAGTTTTAATCAAAAAGTTATAGACAAATTGTGAAGGATGAAAGAAAGAAAAATGAATTTTATATATATAGTTGACGTTTAAATAAAATAAAATAATTTAGTCTTATTGTTTGTTTTGTTGACTTCACCTTAAACCAGTATAAAATGTTAAAAATAAAATAATTAAAATTGGTGATACAATATTATGGTAACAATATTATTGAATAATTGGGAATGGGGAACCTAATGTTCGTAAGACAGTTCGTCCATCTCTATATAAAATTACTACACTGATAAATTTATTAAACAAATATGTAAGTAAAAGGAATCACAGAGTTTAATTTAGAGTGAAAATCACAAATACTGCGGTCTAGCAGGTTAACTTTCTAGACCAAAAAAAAACAATTATTTCATTTTGGTTTGTCTGTGGTGAAGTCAAAACTGTAAAGGTCCCGCGATAGAACGATGTTCAATGACCCAATCACCACTGTTAATCATTGTTAATTATAATTAATTAGTTAAAAAAAAAAGTTGATGATTATTGAAAAAAATTTTCTGAGTTACTTATTTTCTATAAAATTAATTTTGAAAACTTAACTTCAAAAATGTAATTCTCTTAAATGAATAAAATTACGTGGGGTAAATTTAAACGAATATTTATTTTAGATTGCTAATATCTGATTGTTTAATATTATGCTATAATATTAAATGTAAGTTCGAAATAATAATTTATGTATTTATCAAATAAAGCACATGTAGCTTTACTTCAATCGTTTATATTTACCTAACTCGCCCTACTAGGTAAATATTTGTGAACTGACTAAATTTTAATATATAAGATAATATACCTTCAATTGGATTTCCCTGGCAAATTGGACATGATATTAAATTAAAGGTTATGGATTTGTATAAACATTTCTTATGATATTTCCCTTTACAACATGGATGTTTAAAATCATTATCATTCATTTCATCCAGACATATCACACAAACTAAAAAATATCAATTTATAAAAATAAGAAATTTTAATAACGTTTAATTATATAATTTTATTAATTACACTTATTAATTTATATATAAGATTTCACATAAAACGTATTTAGTAATAATAAACATTTTTATTTAATCTAATTAACCTGACCCTACGTTCCTGCATTTCCTTGCAAAAATCACTCACATGGAATAATTTCTTACACCTGTGTAATGATTATACGTATATTCTATATATAATAATTTAACTGATTCTTTGAATACAACATAATACAATTTAATTAATATATATTCAATTTTATTATATAATAAATAAAAAAGGTATTCCAATAAATAATAAAATTTATGTAGAAATAAATGTACTTTTAAATATAACAATAAAAAATGAAAATATATTTAACTGTAAATTAACTTAATGTTTTAATTGATGAATCATATGTTTACTACCTAAAGTTTTTATGCTTAAATAACTGTTCTAAGGTAATTCAGATACATGTTAAAAGTAACTTAAATGATTGTTAATAAAAAATTAATGGTCACACACTGTTGAGAATTCAATTATTTATAAGTAAATTTATTGTAAGGAAGCTAGATAAAGTGTCATCATCATAGCATCTAAATTACTGATTTTATGATATGTTTGACAAAACACTGCATAGTTTTAAGTTGCAAAATTCATAACAAGATCCTTCCTA